GTTTTCACATCACAGGAATCAATCAATGGATCACAACAAAGATATGAAACCATGCTCAAAAAGGAAGGATTACAATCCGACACCAATGGTGGTCAACACAAGTTGCCAACCTCAATAGGAAAGAACAAACCACACACACTAGCATTTCAACATCAAACTAGCATGCTTATCAAACGGGTAACCAAAAGTAGTTCCATTGAACATACAAGACTCATCATGGTCCAACGAATCACAAAGTTGGACACTTAGCACGATTCAAGACACCAAATCCTACATGAATTCCTAACATACCGCTCTAGACATACGAAACATCAAGAAGACACTCAAATAGCCCAATAAAACAACATCGGGAGGTCAAAACATCAACACCGAGTCAAAAGAATCACGGGGAACAAATTCCCGCCGACAACCAACAGTGTACCCCGCGGGTGGGGCCACGGGTGGACCTCCACCCGTGGTTCCGCCCGCGGGTACAACCACCCACGAGGCATGTACCCCGCGGGTGGTGCGGCGGGTAGGCCACTGCCCGCCGTTCCGCCTGCGGGTACACCCTTGTACACCAAGATATCCCTTCGGGGATTTTCAACAAGTCCAAATTCAAGTCCAAAACACCCCAAATCTCACATAATACAACAATATGATTTGAACCCAAGAAATGGCCAAGCAATGGCATACAAGAACCCTAATAACAAGCTCTAAACATGCATTACCACAAGACAATGCATCAAATCTCACATTTCAACACAAGAATCACAAGTAGAAGCCAATAAATCATCATATAAGTAAGAAAATAGGTTTTGTAAAGCATGGGTTACCTTTGTAGCCTAGAACTTCCCTTTTCCAACCTTAGAAAGCTTCTCCTAAAGCTCTTCTTCAACACCAACTTCACAAACCACCCAAAAGACAACAAAGATTCTACTTTTAAAAAAAGACAACTAAAAGGATGCTAAAAACACCAAGAGATCAAGGATCTTACCCTCTCTTATGCTCAAGATTAGGAAAATATGAATCTTGGAAGACAACTTGTAGGATTTAGGATGCCCAAATTTTGGCTTGGAGAAGAAGCAACCAAATTCTTAGAGAGAAGGTAGAGGTTTTGTGTTTAGAGTGTTGGTGGATGAAATGAAGAGATGATGCTAGGTTAGCTTGAAGCACAAACTTTATGTAGAAAGACACCTTTACCCTTACTAAAGTTGGAAGAATAAGGAAACAAGGGAACAACTCATAAGGCATAAAGTACAACCCTTTGACTTGGATTGACTAGTCAAAATCTAGTCCTCCGACTATTGAATTTTTAGGATTTTAGGAATAAATTAACAATAAAACTAGGATTAATCCTCTAATTAATCCTTAACTAGAGTTTGTATTTACGGGGTGTCACAATTGTAATATATCCCCTCTCTACACTCTTGAAACAATGACTTTACTTTAAGCTATGTAGAACTTGAAGATCGTTATCTTCAGGGGGAGGCGAAGAGTACATTCACTCGAATCAATCCCATCGATTGGGTCTTAAAAGACTAACAATTGTACCTTTTGCAACATATATATACCATGTACTCTTTTCCTCACTAGGTTTTTCCCATTGAGTTTTTTCTAGTGTGGTTTTTATCGAGGCATAAGTATGATACGGAGTATATATTAATGGGGGGGGGGGAGGAGGGAAACATAGAAAGGTAGTAGTGTTTATTTTAGGAAAGTGGATAACAGGGACGGATGAAAAAGGAAAGTAAGACAGATAAAATGGGACGGAGGAGTATATATTAATGGTGGGGGGGGGGGGGGGGGGGGAGAGAGAGTTGTACATAAATACTTAAATAGACAAACCCAAAATTATGAACATTATGCCGTAAATACTTAAATAGACAAATCCCAAAATCCTGAAGATTATGCCTTGAAGGCTTATGGTTGTACTCTTTTCCCTTAACTAAGTTTTTCCCACGAGATTTTCTTAAGTTAAGGTTTTTAACAAGGCAATCTGTACAATATATGAGTTTACAAATATCATGTACTCTTTTCTTCAACTAGGTTTTTCCCACGTGGTTTTCCTAGTGAAATTTTTAACGAGGCATGAATGTATTAAAAAATTCTACCCATATACCTTGTACTCTTTTCTCGACTAGTTTTTTTCCCACAGGATTTTTCTAGCGAGTTTTTAACAAGGCATGGTTATGACAAGATAATGTCCAAGGGGGAGTGTTATAAATATATATTATGTGGACATTATATATGAACATTCAATACATAACGGATGTAACGGTCATGGCATTATTATCATCATTACCTTATGTTACATTTGTATTTATATATATGTTGTATCATTGTATTCAGTTGTCGATGATAAATGAGAATTTTCACTTTATCTCTCCATATCTTCTTTCTCTCTTCCTCCTTTTCAATATCATCTATCTGCAATGTTCATCGGTTAGGAGCTAAAGGCCATTGGGCATAATCTCCCACAACAAAATTTATATTGTTGATTGGCATTGATACTTTTTGCACCCATTGTTGTTAGGTACTATTGTAAATCATTACCAATAATATTTGATATAATCATATATGTATGCATGATGATATCATGTGTAAAGGCACAAGGGCTAATTAGTTTTTTAATTTTTTTTTAATTACGAACATATCATAAAATATTTGTAGACGGCACCAAATGTTTCTAATTATACATATACCTTAAAATATTTAGTAGAACAAGTTTAGTAGCATACATATGATATAATGAATTATTAGGTGAAAAAATTAAGAATTAAGTTACATAATTCCTTCTATTTAGGTAATAATATGGTTCTAAGACCACAATCTTAAAAAGGCATGCATGGTTTAATGTCTATCATTGATGGATATATTATACCCACGACCCGACCCGGGGTAGCAACATGGACCTGGAACACCTTGGTGGAGCCCAAGAGCAACACGGACCCGGGGGACCACGGAGGTGCCCAAGAGCAACACTGACCCGGGGGACCACAGAGGTGCCCAAGAGCAACACGGACCCAGGGGACCACGGAGGTGCCCAAGAGCAACGCGGACCCGGAGCACCATGGAGGTGCCCCGACCCGAGCCGACCTACGTGGAGTTCGGGTCGGGGAGCTTGGCACCACCCGGGCTCGGGACCCGACTCGACCCGGTCCGCCCGGGCCCGGTCAAAGTGAGATCTAACCACCCCCGATTTAGGGGGAGGCGATTGGGGGGTTAGCTTGTATAAAAACCCCCCTCCTTGTCCTAACAAAGGGCAGTTCATTCTATGTTATACGATTATTACACACTTTGTCTACCGAATCTTTGTAATAGCCAAATACTACGGCAATTAATATAATATACGGTCCCCAACGATCCTTACGAGATCGTTCTATATTATTCGCTTATTATTCTTATTATATTACGTTCTTATCCGGATTTATTGATTCGGGCACACTCCCAGATTAATTAAATCCATCATTGGTGCTCTTGTTGAATTCCCTGTCTTAGCTACAAACTAAAGTATGGGTCGTTGAATGACGTAGAAGTGTAGAACCATGCTTGCCCTATACTTTAGAACAAGATTTGATGTACATACACTTTTTCAAGATTAAAACTAATCAAGATTTAAACCAATAACGATACAAGTTGTAGACTTAGCTTGTAGGTAGCTAGGCATGAATATTGAATAATTCCTTCTTGGGAATGGTGGGCAGAAAAGCCAAACGCAACATGGTAGCGTAACATTTAATTTGAAATGTTGAAAAAGGTGATATATACAATTGATTTGGCGTATAGTACTATAGTATATCCAAAATTCAAGTAAAAACATTTGAAAAAAATATGCATCGCTCATTGGTTTTTGTTGTGGGAGGGGATTGTGGTTGGCTTTTAAAGAAGTGAATCCATCAATGCAATTTCTATAATAAAAAATAAACAGAATAAAGAGATCTCTCTTACCTCCCCCTAGAAAGATACTATTATTGGATTTGCAATATTTTTTAAGTTCTTATCGTTTGGTGGCAATCATGGGTCGTCTTTGTTGGCTAGCTTCATTGTTCAAAATTTTTAACTACCTTTCTAGATATAGATAGTGTTACCTATAATGATTTTTTCAAATACCAAACTAAAGTAGTTGAAAAGAATTTTAAAGAAAATCCTATTTAAAAAACATAACGATTAGGTTCCCACTCTGGCAAGAACGGACTAATAAGGCTAACTACCCCAACTAACTTTCATACTTAAATATCATTACTTTATAAGTAGATTTCGTTGTGAAAGACGTATTACTAGAAAATTCATGGATAGAGCCAAAGAATGTGAACTACTATACATGTTTCCAATAATGTTCATTAGTTGATTAAATGAAGTGAAATGTTCTGATGTATAGAAAAGACCTAACAGTATACTTTTTAATGTATACACTTTAATTTAAAATTCTATTATTTCATAAAGATGTATGATGCGGTAAAAGATGCCAATTAACATAAAAGCAGCATATAGATGACAAGACAAAAGTTTCATATTTACACCCATCCCAAAAAAAAAAAAAAAAAAAAAAAAAAAAAAAAAAAAAAAAACTTATATAGCAATGTACCATGTTATATCTTTCAAACAATATGAGATGTAAAAATTAAAAATACCAAAAATTAATTTGACATTGTCACGTTACTAGAGTCTAACACCGCACACTATCAATAATGGTAATGGTTCCATCTATTTACAAAATTGTCATTTCTCTTTAATCCTAACAAAGTCCTATAGTATAATCAGTTTGGTTGGCGTGTATGGACGTGCAATCTCATCCTTTAAGAGATGTTGGGAGTTCGAACCCCCTCTCGTATGGAAAAATCAATCCCAGGCCGACCTGTGCGAATGATGATTAGTCTGTCGTATGGTACGGGCTTAAAGGTGGTGTCTTTTACCGTTAGGACCTACTCAAGACACCTCATGGCTTGACTAAAAAACAAAGTCGTATAGTATATGTAATTAAATTTTATTATATAATGATAGCTTTTGCGATAATGCAGCAATTACAACGAAAAATTATATTGCGCCTGCCAATTAATTTGACATCATATATAGATCTTAAAACCTCAATTAAGTGTATAGAAGAAGATATAAGAAAAGAAGAATTCCGGGCTCTTTGTGCTAACAAAAGAAAGTTAAGGGGGCAGAAGTATAATTAACTAAAAATGAAGGGTCGTCGTCGTCGTCGTCACATAATGGAACAAGCATTAGGGTTATCTTCACTGAACATGAAAGACAGCTTTTCTTCAGTAGCATTAGGGGGAGCAATCGCCTGCGGGACGTTCTTCACGTAGCCCGCTGGGGCCCTCTTGTCGTACGCCTGCGTGGCGTAAGGGTAGTACACTACGTTGTATGGGATGTACGGCCAGAACTCTGCTCTTTTCCCTGTCTCTTTTACCCTCCTCAACACCTTGTTTGGCTCCACGAATCCACGCACCGTCACCTTGCTTTGTTTCCGGTTCACTTCTATGCTTTTCACGCCTGCATAAACGTTACATGCATTCCATTACTTTCTCCACCCAAACACTGCCATAATATTGCACAAACAAATTGAAACTCTATGTTTCTATACATTTACTTTGATTTATGAAAAAGTATGCCACCGGCTATCCAAATGTGCACACACTAAAAAAGTCAATAGTTGACTATATAGTGAATTAAAAATGTGAAAAAAAAAAAAAAAAAAAAAAAAAAAATGGATTCATTCTTCCATTATTAACCCTAAGGGTCCACACACCCCGACCCGACAGAGCCCACAGAGGCTACAACGGGTGAGACTCGATCCCTGGTTATTCTTCCAAAATTTCATCTCTGTAACCCGTTGAACTGGCCATGTAGGTAGAAAAGTGGATTCATGATTAATTAGAAAGTGGATCCTCTGGGCCTAAAAGTGGTTATAAAGAAAATTTTTAGATGCCATTTGAATGGGAAAACACTAACATGGATAAAGGTAGAGAATCAGTAACACAGAACTTCCATGATGTGAGACAGACGAACTCGACTTAGAGGGTATTATCTAGAAACTAACAAACTAGAAATAATAATAAAGCAGAGAAGTTGAAATACGGAGTATATAGCTAGGATGACGATGATACTACAAATTAACCTTTGATGTGTTTAATGGCGTTTCTGACTTTTCTTTCGCATCCATCGCAATCCATTTTGACTTTTATCTCCACCGTCTGCAAGTTAACCAATCACCAGATCAGATCAGAGCACAACAACAACGTAAGATATGAGAATTAATTAACTCAACAACGTAACGTAACCATGCATATATACATATATACCTGCATTGATTTGGTTTTGCTTCCTGTAGTGGTAAATGCGCAGAGTTTTGAAAGATACTCAAGGCCACCCATTTTCTTGAATTGAATTCAATTCCCTGTATGTCCTTTAATTCTATTCGGGAAAAGCTAAGTTAAAGAAGAAGAAGAAAAAGAAGAGAAGCTTAAATTAAAGCTAGGCAGAGAGTTGTGTATAGTAATATGCATGACACAGAATACTGCTATTGCATCCCAAGTATTTATAGTTATTAGGTGCTGCGGGTAGTGGACTTCAATTCTTCCTTCGGATATGATTGAACAGTCTGCGTCGTACGTAGTCTATCTGTATAAAACAAAAAAGGTTGTCAGAAAATGAAAGCACTACCTTTTTTTTTTTCTTTTTCTTTTGTCCACGAAAAAAACCTCTTAGTTGTGTGCAACATAGTTGCTCATAGCTAACCAGGTTTCAGAAGCTTAAATAGGCTTCTCCTACTAAAAGTTAAATTTAAAAATTTGTATAATTAAGTCAACAATTTGATAACTTGAGTTAGATGGTCAAAGAAATAGTATTTTATTAGGGTCCGTTTGGAACCATGGAAGTCATTTTTTCGTGTTTGGGTACTAAAGGAAAATAAAGTCAAAGACAAATATTTATTTTGCTCCACAAAAAAAAATGTTAATTTAGCATAAAATGTCTTCCTAATTTTTTATTGGGAAGATATTTTCTGGATTATTTATTTTCCATTTCTCTTCACTCTCTTCATTTTAAAGTCTATTTTTGGATTATTACTATTACCACCAGCACAACTACCAAACTACCACAATCACCCCCAACACCACCACTCCACAACACAACCAGAAATCATCACCACCAAGACCCACACACAACAACCACCAGCACCAGCACCACCAGCACCACCAACACCATTATTACCACACCACCAATGTACCACCACCGCCGACGCCACCGCCACCACCACCACTACCATCACACCACCATCGGCACCACACCACCACCGCCACTACACCACACTACTATTACTGTCACCACTATCACTACATAATAATAATAATAATAATAATAATAATAATAATAATAATATTATTATTATTATTATTATTATTATTATTATTATAACAAATAAGATGTTCATTTTTTGAAAAATGAATCAAATAAAAAATACAATTTCTTAATTTCAACCAAACAAAAAAAAATAGTTTTTTGACATTCACTAAACATCAAAAAATTAAAATATTTTCTAAAAAATAATTCTTTTAATAAAAATTATTATTCAAAAAACATTTTTTCAGATTTCCAATTTCTTATACGATTTTGTGCACAATATATTAGCTTTCACCGCGTACAAGCTGTTCCATCTCATTTTTTAATTGGTGTAAAAAAGTTATAAAAGCGTTTTTGGGTTTGGGTTCGGTGCGTGTGGCTTTTCAATTTATTTATATATATAGTATTAATAGCCTCAATAATTGGAATGCCGACTTTTATATTATTCTCTCCGGTCGCCCTGCGAATATCAACGATTTACTTTTTCATTTTTTCGTGGGACTTTATGCCAATTATATATGGGCCTCGAATAATACATAAATAAATAAATAAATAAAACAGCTATTGGTGTACAATTTTTTCCTTTTTAATTTACTAATATAACTTTGTAAAGTTTTTATTTTAAAAGGAGAGTTGCATTGTAAGCCGATCAATGTGAAAAGAGAATGGAGTTGTGCGACAAGACAACCATGAATAGGCGATGGTCCACACCAAGAATATGCACTCTCCACAAAATACCACACTGTACTGTAGATCGAGACGTCCATTATTCTGACGTGTCCTTTGACTTGCAAACGTGGCACTTCCATCCGCCGTTTGTTGGGTCAAAGGCTTTGCTTCACCATGCAGCAAACCCACTATCTATCCCAGGCTCGGCCACATTCTTTTCCCTCCCTGCTTATATCGTGGACCAGGTTCAACCTAATAAGATGTATGTTGATTTTTAAGGTGTGTTTGGTTGGCAGGTTTAGCACTCGGGTATGAAAGTGATTGTTATTGTTTGATTAACTGTTTTTTAAAACACTACTATGAGTTTGGAATACCTCATTGGAAAAATTCATTCTCTTACTTTGTAAGGATTCCATCCCATTATTCATCATTAGCCTAATTATTCTCATTCCATCGTACTACCAAACATGCAAAATACTTTCACCAAAACTCATTATCAATACTAAGTATTTGATACCTATTCTGATTCCGATTATCATGTGCGAACCAAACACACCCTTAATTAGTATATTATATGTTCATTTAAATTTAGAGTAAGCCTAACAATTGATTTTTTGCTCAGGTTTTTGTAATTCCAACAAGGAAAAAGATGGCCACCAGTTGGCAACAATTCTGGCTCGGGGCACTACTGATGCGAAATGCACACAGTTTTCTTTTTTTAATAGGCAATGATGAGATCTACAAAAAACTCCACATTTTGTAAGAACTCAAACCATATATATCTCTCATCCCCTTTCTTTCCTCCTACATTGGAATGCTACTATAATACACCAAAAATGAACTAAAAGTGGGTTCCTAGATGCACAATAAAATTTACCATGCATTTTCCTTACACAGAGTTACACTTTCACGCCATTAGACTCAGCTCGTATAGTACTTTGTATTTTATCTTAAAATCACACCTTTATCTCGAAAAAGAAAGAAAGATCGAGATTTTTCTAGTTTTAGCTAGAGGTGATTGAGAATTTGAGTTGGTGATGTGGGTACCTGATTCAGTAGTAGGCAGGAGGAGCCTTGAAGAAGTGAAATTCAAATGGAATCCATGAATGCATGTACAAATTAAAGTGTAAAGCTATGTTTGATTATCTCTTGATCTACAAGCTTCTTTAATTTCTTCAAGACTATAAGGCCCAAAAAGGCTAGTTTGTTTTGTTTCCTCTTTCTTTCATTAGCTGCTGAAAAAGCAAGAAATTAAAGCTAAGCTAGCTGCTAGCATCTTTCCTTTCCCTTAGCTTTTTTCTTGAATTGGTCCCAAAAGGAGGCTGCCTGCAGGCATTATTGCATGATCAACTCCATCTACTATACATTATTGGTTATGCTTAGCCTATCTATCTATCTAGCTACCTGATTTGGTAGAATCTGCGGATTCCTATATGCTTCAATAATCCTGCATGCATGCTACCTTAGCTTATCATATGCTTGCAAGGCTGTAATTAACATGTAACAGCTCGATGCAACAAAGGATTAAGATTCCATGATGGATGTTAAGGAGATAACTTTTGAGTTCTACTATGTATACTCTCAAATTCTACTCCCTGATATGACAAATAAGAATAGACTATATTTTCATTGCTTGGAAGTAGAAGTTGGGGAGGGGGGGGCAAATTTTCTGTATGATCCACAAAGCTGTGTAGACCATGAATAAAATGTATATTTTTAATATACTAAATATACATTATTTATGTACTCAAATAATGTACATTATTATGTACCTTCAATTCAGTATTCAAATAATGTACATTATTATATATCTTCAGTACTCAAACAATGTACCTTTAGTATATTAAAAATGTACATTTTATTCATGGTCTACACGTCCATAAAATAATGATTAAAAGTTGCAAGTAGAAAATGAGAATAAACATAGTATTTTCCTATAATTTCCTTTGGTTTCGATTCTTTGGGATTTTTGTTTTTTGTTTTTTGTTTTTTTTTTTAACAACTATTGTGCCTCCATGATCAATGGAATATAAAAAATGACTTCAATTCCAATACAATCATTATACCATGGTTCATATTCATTTTCAGTATATAAAATGTTTAGTGTATCAAATGTCTATTTTTAGTATATTGTAGGTAATGAATCTATAGTAGATTAAAATAAACTTTAATTTACTGAAAATGGACATTTATAAGTGATCTGTTTACGACATTAAAGATGATTCATAGTATAATTTGCCAATACCTCTTTGAAAATATTCTTTCTTCCATGTTTACTAGGCCCAATTAACGTGGGCTGGGCTGGATTTTCAACAAGCAGCCATCATTGATCATTGCTGGCCCACTATTTCAATCAATCACTAAACAATAATACATATATAAAGACATCCTGGCGTCCTGCTATCAAGTTTCAAAACACCCATGGCCCATCAAGGAAAATGCAGTACATAAATTTCACGTTCATATTTGATAGTGTAATTGTTGTAAGAATATTAGAATAGACAAAGAGAGGAGAGGAAATGTTATCATTCTCATTCATCATATCAAATACTTATACAAAGGTATTACAAATATAAGGTAATGAATACATATAAAAGGTAGTAACCATATTAGTTACAACTACTACCATATATATAATAATGTCCACATATATAATATTTATAACACTCGCCCTTGGACATTATTTGACATTATCCTGTATCTTCAAAACTTGCTAGGAAAACCCTGTGGGAAAAACCTAGACAAAAAAATATATATGTATATATTCATGCCTCGTTAAAAACTTCATTAGGAAAACCTCGTGGGAAAAACCTAGTTGAAGAAAAGAGTACATGATATTTGTAAGAATATATATTGTACTGATTGCCTCATTAAAAACCTTAACTTAAGAAAACCCTGTGGGAAAAACTTAGTTAAGGGAAAAAAAGTACAACCAAAACCTTCAGGGCACAATCGACATAATCTTCAGGATTTTAGGGTTTGTCTACTTAAGCAATTATTTTGCAACTTTTCCCCATTTACATTACTATATCATACTCATGTCTCGTTAAAAACCTCACTAGAAAACCCAGTGGGATAAAACTAGTTGAGCAAAAGAGTGCATGATGTATGTGTATTCTTTTTAGATTAGCTGCCTCGTTAAAAACCTTAGATTTAAAAAAAAAAATCCCGTGGGAAAAAACTTAACCAAAGAAAAGAGTACAGCCATTAGTTATCTAAGACCCAATCTTCAGGATTGATTCATGTAAAATGATACTCCCCCTCAAGATAACAATCTTTAATTCCCATACATTAAATTTCCAAACTGTATAGAGGGGTTTTGTAAATAAATATATACAATTGTCATTTGAATAAATATACTCTATTATGGAGTTACAAAAGTAATAGCCAGTACCCAAGTAGCCATTATATATTTGTTTGTCTAAGTATCCAATCAAAATCATATATTGACTAACTGGTGTATAAAAATTTCTTCAAGGAAAAACTCTATCTTCTGGAGTTGAGATAATACTT